GTTTGTTTGTGTGGTGTTTGTTTTTGTTTTTTTTTTTTTGGTTTTTTTTTTTTTTCCCCCTCTGGAATGTGATTATAAAGCATAGATTAGAAATACACAAGAAGACCATGCCACCTGCAGGTGCTGGGGAGAGGGTGCATTTCTCAGCAGTGTCCAGGGCTGGCAAAACCGCTGAGCTGCTTCTTGTGCTGGTCTGTGGAAGATCAAAATAAACACGCTCAGTTTTCTTTCATACTTCAGCAAGTGGAAGGCATGAAATATAATAAGAGATTGTTCTTCCAGAATCCCCATGTTAATCAACACTGACTAAATATAAGTGAAAATGGCTCAGATGAGGAGGGCTTGGTGGAGTACAGTTTTTCTTTTTGTTGTCTTTACAGAAAGTGGCACGTGGAGCTCTAGGTCTGAGATCCCCCATGAGCCAGAACCCAGATGCTTTCGTTTATTGGCTTATGTATTAACTGATGTTCTTCTCCTTAGTAAGAGGCTGATGTCTTAGAGTCTGTCAGGGAGGTAAAAAGATGGAGCTGTATTTTTCCTAAGGGTGAACTGGTACATAGGTCAGTGAAGCTAGTCAGATTTCTGGCTGCTTATTGTCAAATCTTTAGCTATTTGGGAGCTGAACCCCAAACACGTCACATTGCACAAACAACATAGGAGCATTGCCAGAAGCCAAGCTGGTTTTCAAGTTTGAAGCTGCCTACAAATAAACCGTGAAAACAGTGAGAAAGAGCATGGATAGGAAATTATTTAAGGTAGAACAAAATGAAGTAATGGAAGACAGCATGTGTTGCTAATTACCTGCCATTCTGATTTCTGAAGTAATTTTTCATCCATGAGCCATGCGGTCAAATACAGCAGCAAACCAGGAGTGTATATTCTAGCTTGTGGGCATGTTAAATACTGGGAATTGACGTTGTGTCATTGCTGCCATTTAGAGTCGTCGTGCGATAGCTTGGGGAGTGCTGCCGGGGCTGGGTAGTACATCATAAATCATAACTGCGTAAAGATGATCTGCAGTATCTCCCCAGGCTCAATTTCCACTTGTAATTGGCAGATGAAAGAAGACTCAGAACAATTATCTGATATTAATTACGTCAAAGACTCTTTGGATGCTCCTCGTCTTTGAAGTCTCAATTCTTGACATGACCAGAGCGCTTTGCGCGGGGGAAGGGGGGAGGGAGAAGGTAACTCTTTGGGCAGTTTTAGTCAGAGCTGTCTTGTGGACCTGGTATGGTAGAACACCACGACCGTGTTGGTGCACTAGGTCAGCAGCATCTGGGCCTGGAGCTTGGTGCTGGGCTTTCTGGAGAGGAAAGCACAGGGCTGAACGCTGAGCACCTAATGCCCTGCAAGGCCTTCACAGAATCCAGTGTAGTCCTGCCCACTTCAGCCTGTGAGAAAGTGTAATCTCTTCATTTAGGTGTTTATGCATAGTGGGCTGAAAACTATCAACAGGTACTGAAAATTGAAGCCCTGAAACAAAGTAGCTGTGCCATACCCACTGCAATGAAAGAGGAGCATTCCACAACTAAGACTTTCATAGGATAACTTATGCTGTGAGGGTAGGGAGATGTGTTTTTAGCGTGATATGGGCACCTCTAGCAAACCAAAATCTTTGAATTCTCATTTTGCAGAAAAGCTATCTGTAAAGTGAAACTACTCTTGCAGATGAGACTGGACAATAATGCAAACCTTGTTTTGGCAGCGTGCTTTCATCATGTATGAGAATGTGAAGGAGGACAAATTCTACTGTAACTATGCCCTAATGATACACCTCCTCTCAACCACAATGCAGTCACTGAGTTGTGTGCACTGGGCAGCAGTGAGGAGTTCCACTAATTCCAGAAAAATCCTGGATCAGATAGAACTCTGTTGGAGGAATGTTCTGCATAGGATGCACAGTTTATCTTCTGGGCTTGTATGGACTATTCCTGTACTCTGACAGTCCTGAGATTTGATTTTTTTTTTTTTTTTTTCCCCCCCTTGCCCTCTCTGATGTCTACTTTTGTGGCAGCTCTGTTATGGAATGGCAAGAGAAAATGATATTAATGATCCCTAAAGTAAGGAACTACTCTGCAATCTGTGAGGGCAAACGGATGCTTTCTGCATTGTTTCAGAAGGGTGTAAATGCTGCTGGAGGGTATCAGACATGTGATGTAAAGCTGGAGCAAACCTGCAGCCCAAAATGAACATAAGTAGTAACTCATGCCTTGGATGGAAGTTACAGGATTGAGTTTGCTTGGATTTTTTCACCCTATGGTTCAGTCTGTAGTGGGTGTAAGGACTAAGTTGTTGCTTCAGCCTCCCAGCATGTGGGGCATAAGTTTAGCTGCTTTCAATTCTCGATGCCTGTTTTCATGAATGCTGCCAGCATTTAGTGTATTTGCCACCTATTCTTGTCCTTCAGGTTTACTGGAATCCATGCAAAGGCTTCCATGCTAGTGGAAGAGGACAGACAGATGCACGGTGTGATTTAATATAAACTTGTTTTCTTAGGAATCTAGGCAGGGAAAGTGGAAGTAGTCAAATATAAATACATACCTCCCTTGCATTGCTTCTGTTTGATCAAGCATCCCAGTGTCTGTGGGACTGCAGAGAGAAACTGTCCTCTGAGGGTGGCATGAATAATGGCACTCACACTCTTTTAAAGCAGGGTAATAATATGCAATATTTATTGTATTTGCTTGAATGCTCAAAAATTACGTTTTGCCTGAAAGCTATACCTGGCCTGGCCCCTGGAGGGCACCAACAGCCAACATTACACCTTTTTTCACTTGCAGTTTAGCTATTATCCAGTGACATACAGCACTATGAAGATGGCAAATATATCCCCCACGTATAGATTAAAGTGAACTTGCTTTGCCTTGCATAATTTGGAAATTCAAAAGACCAATTTCTTAGTGTAATTGAAAACCACTACATTTCTGGCTTATTCATTGAATCAGTATTTCCAGTTAGAATTCAAATTAATCTTTCTACCTTTAAACAAGATAACGAGGGTGTAGTTATATTTACTCAGCCCTTTAACAATCAGGTTCAGCGTAGCTGCATATGATTAACTCCACATACACAATTGCAAAAGGTTAGTACGGGCATGATTCAAGTCATAAGGGAAATTCATCTCTTAAGGATGAAAATCTGAACCGACAGTTCAACACTCGGCCTAATGCCTGAGTCCCTCTGGAAGGGAAAAGTAAAAAAGGCAGAGGAGAAAGGCGAAGCGACCAGCCCAACGTAAGAGCCATGTCACCTTGTGTATGCTTCCCTCTGTGTGTGGTTTTTTTTTTTTTCATTTAGCCTGGAGTCCTTTTACTTTAAAGTTGCATTAATGCAACTTTACTGAATTACTTCCAACACCTGTCAAAAAGAGACATGACATCCGAGTGCATTTGGATTTTGTGTGGGCTGGTCAGCTGGAAACACAAGTCTGAGGTTTGCACATGGAAGCATTTATCTGGAGCACATCCTGCTCTGCATCACAGGCATCTGATGTGGTGGATAAATTGGGTGGTAAAATTCCCTAATTCTGTGAAATATTAATAGATGGGTTTTAAGAGATGACCTCTCTAAAGAGAAGCCTAAGGGATAATTTGACCAGTATCATCCTAAATTCAGGCACCTGAGACTTTCTGTGGACTCGCTTGGTCTTTGGAGGGGCTTGGACTGACTCTTCTCTTCACAGATTGTGTAACAAGGCCAAGCTCCTGAAATTCAGGAGAATTAAACTGGATCCACAGAAATGATCAAGTGTTGGTAATCAAAGGCTTTTCAGTCTCACTAGTCCAAGGCGCAGTGGCTGAATGTTAAAAAATGTCAAACAGATCTGCAGAGAACAAGGCAAGGGAGCAGCTGATTAGAGGCTTTGTTGGATTCTCCATGACTTAAAATGTCCAAATAGAGATCAGATACCTTTCTGAAAGCTCAGCTCTAATTCCAAGATTAATTATGGGAAGTCCAATCTGCCCTATGTTATACAGTAGGTCAATATAAAGAAGGTGATTTTATTTATTTATTTTTTTAAATGCATTAATAGGGAAGGGGAGTTGCACAAGGTCACATCAGACAGGTTTGAGGGCAGACGCTGTGCTGTCACACCGCCTTTCTGCGAGAAGGTGCTGAACAAGTCCGTGTCGCCTGCAGCTGCTTTCCCAGCATCTTATGTGGCACTGACTTTTCTGATGCTGAAAACATTTTCAGTTGTTTGCCAGATAGCTAGGAGGCACGGTGGATAGATGGGCACCCCCGATTTCCCTGCAGGCTGCTGCAGGGGAGCAGATGACTCACACAATGGTTCAGCTGGCAGCGGCCTTTGCAGAATGCGAGAAGTTTCAGATTTTTGATCCTTTTTTTCTGGGAATGGCAAAAAGTTAAAAGATTGTTACTAGAAATAGATGACGCTCAGACTAGCACAGCTTCAGTGCAGTGGGCTTGTGGTCTCTAACAGCGTTCCTATCATCTGCGTGAACTGATGTTTTTTCATTGCCTGTGAGGCTAAGTTGTGTGTCTTTGCATTTGCAATAGTCTGAGACCGTAGGCAGCCGGTGCACTGTGACTGCTTAAGCTGTGCTTACTTGATTCGTGTATGAGCATGAGGTCGCGTACAGAGGGCACCCTTCAAAATAAATGTTATTAATAACTAGTTGTTATAGCATCATAAGCAATAGCCGTACAGAAATACCCTGAGGTGGGGTTGTAGGTGCATGTCTGGGTTCCACTGTCACAACTTCTTAGCTGAATCTGGCCTGCCAGCTGCCTCATGCAAACAGGCAAGAGGCAATTTTTCTAACAGGCTTCTGCTTTCTGCTCTATCAAGCAATCTGTGGCTCATGTTTCATTAATTGAAACTTGCATTCTCATTTATACTTGTGCAAAAGGAAAGTGAATATTCAATTTACACGTGTTTATATTTAAACACCAACATAATCTAATACCCTAAAGAAGGGTGAAGTTCTTTGCTGGCTGCTATGCTAATTGCCCTCCCTGTCATTCATTTGCAGGTCTGGACTGTGTTACCTCTGCATCCGTCTCTGTTGCAATGTCAGCAAGCACAAGCCGGGATGGCGTGCAGATTGTTTTAATTTGCACCGGGGACTGTCTTTGGCTCTATGAATAAGGAAGCACCTTTAAATATTTCCTGCCTCTGCTGACCTGAGTGCTCCTGATTTCCAGCTCTGCACCGCATGTCTGCGCTTGGCCAGCAGGATCAGAGCTGGGCCTACAAGGTGAGTGTAAACAAATTTATAATGAAGTCATTAAATTCATGTAAGTTGTTTTTTTGTCTGTCCAGCATCTCAAATTACACCATGGACTTGATATTTCAAGTAGTAACATTACTCTGCTATTGAACTAGCATGGTGATGTTGGGTGGGACTTGCTAGTTCTTCTGACATCTTCACTGTGGGCCGTGAGTCTGTTGAGCAGAATCTGTGCTTTGGCTGTGAGAAGAGACGGGGATGGAATTTGCTTGGGCAATCTTATAAGCAGTCCTCATGTTACTTTTAACTTGTAGGATCTAAGTAGATAGTCAGCTATCCCTAATCTATCCCCTGAACGAGTCTACTGTGCTCAGCATAAACTGGAAAGAGAAGAGATTGTGTCCTAATATACTTTTTTTTTTTTTGAAAGACTAGCCATTGAGCTTGCTGTGTGAAATCCTCCCCTTGAGTTACTATGGGGTTTTATTCTGTATGGCATCTTACATATGTTTTTCAGTCACAGACTGGAATAATTCCAGGGAATCTGCTCTGCTCTGTTGCCTAATTAATAATACATCTCTTTAAAAAATAAAGAAATCAATGCATATTTAACTGGTAAGCAGGAGTAGCTTCAAAAGCACCATTTCAATCCATGAGCTGCATAATACAGTGCTGTGTTACTCTGAAAATCCTAACTAGAACAAAACTTTGGATATGTGAGTTTGCATTATGCTTCTAAAGCAGTTGGATTCTTTAATGTGTTGACATTTCATTACTTTTTTTTTTTTCCTCTTTTGGAGAAAAAGGATGGAAAATACAAAGTGCAGTAGCTTAGCAAGCTAAGTGAACTAGTGGAGGTAAAAACCTCCTTCGTTCCCTTTCTGAAAGGGATTTGTAACTAAGATGAAACCTGCAGCAGGGAGGTGAAGTTGTAAAGCTGCTACCCAGCATTTCCTCATCGTCAACCAGCTGTTAGTCAACGAGCTGCTCTGCAAAGCAGCTTATGTGACTGTTCCCTTCTGCTGAGGAACGCATGGTAAACTCAGGTGTAAAACTAGGATTTGGGAGAGGATTTTTATCTACTGCTATCAGTGTCACTGCACAACACTGGCCAATGGTTTTTGTGCAGTTTCTCATAATGAGGTAAGAACCGAGCTTTTAGCACAAACTTTTGCCATTGTCACTTCAGCGGATTCTTGTCAAAGCTGCTGACATCTTGTTTTGTACTACTTACCTCTATGAGGGGAGAAGGAAAATTCTTTACTGCAAAGACTGAATAATTGTGAAAATACAGGTTGTTTTTTGATGCTTTCATGGCAGTTAATCCCCACCAACACAGACTGTTGACATGGGGAGAGTAAACAACATAGGTGTGGAGTCCTAATGTGAGCATCCCCAACAGACAGTTTCCTTTTGTTTCGTTGTGGTTTTGTGTGTGTGGTTTTGATTTTGGTTTGGTTGGTGGTTTTTGGGTGTGGGTTTTTTTTTGTGTGTTTTTTTACAAATCTGCTTTTTGCTTCTTCCTGTGTGAGGGAAGGGAAACAGCCTTTAGGTTTGTTTTCCTCTGGAAATGTGCTTTCAAATTCAGACGTTTCCTTGGTTTCTAGAAGAGTCTTTTGCAGAGGTGTTTGCCCATCTCTGCTGTGCTGCAGTCTCTTGCTGTTGTTCTTACTCACCAGCTGCCCGACCTGGCAATCTGCATGCATCTCCCAACCTCTTATTCCAAAGGGGTATGCCCCAAAACTCCCATGGCACAGGCTATATTCCACTCTCCCTGTTTTTCTTACGATTCAAGGAGTAGCATCCAAGACAAAAAAAGTCACAGTTGTCTTCTCTGATGCTCAAGATCTAGTTCAGGAGTTAGCTATAAACAGATGAGCAACACCAGGTACCACTCGTGGCAGAGTGGCATTAGGGATTCAAGGCTTGGGCTATGATATCAAAATACACATCTTGCAACACAGACAAGGATTGCTTTGATGAAAGCTGAGCCTTTGATTTAATTTGCATGGGATCTAGATGAATGGCCTGTGTGATCAAAACAGGTTGCGTTGTAAATAGGTTCACAGAGAAACTGAGAGATGCCAAGTAAAAGGAGCTCAGCTCGTGGGCTCAGAGACAGGACCTAACCCATAGCAGGAGCGTGCGGGCATGATGCAGGCAGCTTTTCATCTTCTGGTCTTCAATCATGAGCTTTGAAAGCCTGTAGACAGTTCAGCTCTGTTATAATTTTGCTTGAGGGTAGAGGTAGTGGGGAGGTAACTGCATGCTACACAAGATACAGAAATCTCACGTGGTGGTATACACCTCTGGAGCAGGAGGACTGCTTTGATTTGGCTGTACCCAAAGTGCTCTCATGGACTATTGTAAATGTAAGTCAATTTTAGCCCCTGCTAACAAACAAAACTCTATCATCTTGAGTGTGTCCAAAATGGAATATATTAAAAGTCACAGGGGCCATTGATTTAGGAAACTCTAAAACCCATCTCTTCCCAGTGTCTGAAAGATTTATTAAGATAGTTCAGATTGCAGATGTTCAGAAGCACAGGTGATCCGTATATACACAGGACAAGGATCATTAGGAGGATAGATTCCTTGAAACTATTGCCAGCATTTTCTAAAATGCTTTTCTCAGACAAATGACTCCTACAAGAAAAAATAATTATTTTAAAAACATTAAATCTTCTTATCACTATGAGCTAGATCTCAGGAAGGCCAAAGATGCCATTTTTCAGTAATCTGGTTCATGGGAGCCTTCTGGCTGCATTAAAGGTGAGAATTAATTTACTCATCCAGTAAGTCAATTGATCCTTATGGGTCCCTTTCAATTCAAGATATTCTGTGGTTCTGTATTAAGCAAGAATGATTTGGGAGCCTTGCCAGTAAATTACTTGGAGGAGATCTTGCATTTAAATTCTTGAAAATGGTGTTTAAATTCTTTATTTGTTTCCCCGATATCTCCCAGGTTGTGTATTAAGCTATGTTAGCTAAACCTTTATCACTTCTGTAAAAATTAAGTCTTTCAAGTGGAAAACTTCAGAGATTTAAAGATCTCTACATTTCAAGGGTGCTTTTAACAGATATATCTCTGCTGAAACGCTCCTTAACAGAGTTGCAATGCAGTTAATCTACCACACTTCCGAACTGGCTTCCAAACTGAATAATGGAAATTACCCCAACTTCCCTGTATGTTCCCAGCTGCTTAAAGATGGTAACTGCAACTGCAGGAAAGCAATAGTTCTGTAGTACCTGAAAATGAGGTTTATCTTTTACCCATCATGAGCTCCTAAAGAATCTTGGAAACAGCATTTTTAGTTATCAAATCCAGTTCCTGATTTTGTGAGCAACTGCATAACAGAATCATGGTAAAATAATCTAGAAGGATGTTAGAGAGGTCATGTAACTCATCCATCAGCCCCAAGGCAGGATCAACTATATATTAATCCTGACAGGTATTTATTCAATGTGTTCTGAAAGAACTCCAGTGGTAGGGAGATGCTCAGCTAACCTATTCTGCCTCCTCATCCCTGCTGTTAGAAAGGTTTTCTTGAAGTTTACCCTGAATTTTTCCTCTTTTAATTAGTCAGGAAGGCTGGCTAACTTGTCTTATCTGTCACAGGTATGGAAAAAAGATTATATTCTACTCTATGTATATGAAGCCTTTGAGGTCTCCCCCTGAGTTGTATTCTCTTTAGGGTAAACAACCATTAATGTTTTTAATCTTCCTTCATGTCATGCCTTGCAAATCTCCGATTAGCCTCATTGCAGTCCTGTTACCCTCTCCAGTCAGTCTGTGTCTGTCTTGATCTAGAATATCTTTCTCAAGTGTCTAAAATAGAATCCATCACCCGCTTTTGATTCAGTAACAGTGTCTGAAATATGCTTGCTATCAAGCTTAAAGTAAACAAGGACTGTTACTTAAATAGTATTTTCCCTAACTGGGAGATTAGTCTTCCATAGTAACAAAAGTCCTGGATAAAATCAAACCTAATACAAAATATTAGTTTGGAAATGAATGTGCATTTAAAAATGAAATTGCAGTTCTAAAACAGGCTTTAGCAATATCCAACCTTAGTATTTTTCCCCAACGAATTGAACCCAAACAGTTTCAGCCTTTGATCTTTTTAAACTGATACTTCCTTACACCCTTTACCTGTTTGCTCTTCTGTGAATACCCAGTGTTTCAGTCATGATTGCTACTTTTGTGTGTGTGTGTTTCAATTCTTTGCAACAAGTTCCAGGTCTCAGCCCCTGTGCAAGCACTTTCTTATTATGGGAGTTACTCATTCTCATTTGCGCACACTCTATGACATGACAACTTATTTAATGACAAATGATATTTGTTGCTGATTTTGATGCATGAAACTTCTGCAGAGCCTTTTTTTTTTCCCCCCAGCTGCAATTAAAGCCTGCATCTTAGTTGCTGCCTTTTGTTTCTTTTGAACTCATCGGGGGAGGAATATAATTAGATAATATTTGAAATTACAGTCTTGGCTAAGAGAAAACATAAAACTGTAAGGTAGTCATCACCTTAGATTAGCATTCCAAAGCTGATAAGTAGACAGGCCAAATAATCTACACTCGTTTCTGAGCAACAATTTAGGATTCTGGGGAATCAGATATTGCACTAAGCAGCTTTGAGGAAATAAGACTCAGTTAATCAAGGTGGGAGAATAAAGCTGCAACAGCAGAAGCTGGAGCGATTTACTAGTCACTCGCAGCCGAGGAATGCATATATTCTTCATCCTGCTAGAAATTAGAGGTGTGCAGAGATAGGAATGGCAATGATAAAATGTAGGTAAAAATTTGGGATTAAAGGAGACCATTTGATCCCTTAAAACCAGTCCAGAAGGCTCCACAAAACCTCCGGCTCTTGCCTAGTAAGCCTCACCACATGCCCTGTGTGGGCACAGCAACAAACTTCAGACCATTAACACGAAAGTAGAAAAAAATGTCATGTGCCAGAGGGAAAGCAAGAAATAGGAAGCTCTTGCTGATGTCTTCAACTACTGAATTA